AGTCAGGAATGTTATGAATTACGTGCGATAGCCTACAGGCAATAGCAGTCTAGATATCATCTAATATTTTATCATATACGAATTATGAGAAATTCTTATAAAGCGTATTCTAGAATCTCATAGCGTGACGACAAGTGTGAGAAATATGTCGATCATTTTATTAATTTTTTTATATAGACATTCTATTGTTATAATCTATCTATTGTTATTTATCGTACATTTCGATAATTGTTCTGTGAGAATAAATTTTTCTAATTGAAGCTAACTAATTGAACTAGTTATCATTTTATTATTACATATTTAGTAACATCATCATACTTTCAAGCACAAATTAATGATATACATATATATTTAGAGTATTTGCTATCTTCTCGTGTAAATCGGCTCCTCATCGTACTCGTATTTGTACTTGCCAAAGGGCTGATGATTGTGGATGTTGTTTGCCGCCAAATACGCGTATACGCGAGGATTTCGCGGTCCAGGCACGTAACGCCCGTATCGGGACAATACGAGGGCTAAAACGGGATTGGGCGGTGGATGTACCTTGCTATTATAACCATCGTCGTTCAGAGTACGGCTTAGGAAGCGATCGAGGGCCTTGATGACTGCCGTTATGTCTTGTGGTCCTCGACGATAATATGTCTCAACTTTTCCACGATACGGCAGTTTATCGTCATCCAATTCATCTGTCAGATATCCGTCAAATACCTTGACATCCTGATCCGCGAATCGAGGTACGTGACGATGATATTCTTGGATATCTTGAGGTCCCGATAACGTTGACGTTGTCGTCGCGGTCGTCGTCGTCGATAGTGGCGACGGAGGCGACGGAGATGCGTTCGGCACTTTCGTCGAAAGCCAAGCGTCCTGATGAATTTCTGTAGGAAACCTCCGAGTATAGAAAAAGGAGATATAGTATAATATGTGCACGAAGTGGAAAATATAATTCATTGTATATTTAAAAATCTTGTCTAAGAGTGTTTTTAAATCAAAATAATTTTTAATTATATTTTTTTAGCACGATATTGAAATTTATTTTAGATTTTCTTCTCCATTGCTGAAAATTAGAAATTGAAATAAATAATCTTCAACTTTGGCTCAGAAAAAATCGACGCTAAAATGGTAGAGGTTTTTATATGTATGTAAATATGTACAAATATGTAAATATATATAAATATTTACATGTACACTTTACATAAGTTAAAAAGATTAATTTCAGTTTTCAGCAATGAGTTTCTTAAAAAGAAAATCTTTAAGTAAAATTTATAAATTTCAATATTGTACTAAAAAAATTAATTATTTTAATTAAAACATCCTAATAAATAATATTAAAATATCAAAATTATCTAAATACCATCTTACGTATATTCATAACTTCTTTTTCTTCTTTCACATACTTTCGTAATTACAAAAAAGAGAAGTAACAACTTTAATACCTCTGAGGACCAGTTTGCGACTTCTGCTTGTGATTACTTAAAGTCGACGCTGATTGAAGTCCCGTTGAACGCTCTGCCTGTAGATTTCTGAAGGATACTAGTTTCTCCAGATTGCTGTTGATAATGTGATGATCATCGTATTGATGATTTGGATGTTTTGGAAATGAAGAACTGCCAGGTGGCAGATAACTATGCCGCTGACGCGATATATTCGTCGGATCCAAAGATGTCTTGGTCACCATTATAGCACTCGTCAAGCAGATACGCATCGCCTATATTCAGGTAAGGATATACTTATTAGCCGTATTCGCATCTGTCTTCTGAAAACACATTCCTATCATGCCGTTCTGTTATACGGCGGCACAACGCCAGACTCATTTTAGGACCAGGGTCGATGCACCTAAACATCCTGAGCGAAAATACGAGCCAACAGCCAAGTTCACGGTACCGATAGCTGATTTAGACTATTCAACTTTTTACTTTGCGATTCTTATTTTGCGATAAGAAAAATCATGCCGTTAACATGTTAAATAATAAACGTAGGTATGTGTCAATTTCAAATCTTGATTAGCATTATATAAATCGTGCATAATAAAAAAATGTATGTAAAATTATACTAACACAAGTGCAAATTAAATCACACACTTATAATAAAAATTTACATAATTATCGTTTTCGTATAACTCTAACATAAAATATTTCTTATAGAAATCCAATTTAATATTGGCCAATGTAATTTTGTTACTGAAAGTAGTGATTAATTATTTTGAGTATTAAAAGCATACGGAAAGGACAATTTTGCTGAAGTATTTAAAAATTTAGCTAGACACAAATCTAAAATTTTCTTGGATTATCATAAATAAAACAATTGTATAGAACGTTTAGTCTGGTTATTAGGACAAAATATTTTACAGCATTGCTCACCATGAATTTTTCTACAATTATTTTAATGATTCAACAAAATTATTCTCAGATTTGTATCTACCCAAACTTTTAGATATGTCAGCAAAATTGTTTCTTCAATGCATTGTTTAAAATAAGTAATGAACATGACGATCTTTCAGTATTGTATTAAATTTCTGTAAGGGATTCATATAATTGTCACATAGAAGATGTATATTTTCATTATAAATCGTACGATTTTTATTTGTTGTTCATATAACTTCACATATTTTCAATCCATTTTACGGCGCACAGAGTTGTTCTGTTTAAATCAATATACAATATTTTTATTCCGTGTTTTCTATATATCGTCCTCACACGCAGTCTCGTTCGAACGTATCGCGAAACACAATAACTTAGATGTTTTGGAACTCTCGTTACCAGACAGACTATGCTGAGTTTCTTGGCAACGACCATCCTCCTTCTATTCCGTAAAAAGGACTAAAACGGCAGCACGCACTTTGCGTGCCATTTATACAGCGTGCCGTCGCGTCTGCTTAAGAGCCAAGTCTTGTTCTGGCCAGGAAATGCGTAAAGCTATGTTACTCCCTGTCTCTGTTCTATACACGCAGATTTCTACATTTTCCCCCCTTTCTCCTATGTCAAGACCGGTACATCATTTACGCAAATTGTCAAGCGTTATTAGAAACTTTCCTTTTGTCTCCGAGAAGACGATTGCGGGACGAATTCTGTATGACGAATAACTTCTGCTTCATTTAAATTTCTTTTGTCGTTTCTTTTTATATTGTCGGAACAGTACACTTTTGTTATGCTGATTACAGATGCAGTTTCGGATAACGAAAATATATCTTTTATCGCTTTAAAGAAAACGCCTTTTATGGAAAAAGAAAAATAAATTAAGACATATCGAAGCATTGATAATTATTATAAATGTAAGTTTTAAGAAAAAAAAGTCGATAGAACAAAACATGCATTATAAGAAAAATTGCATGAGTCTAACCATATCATTTTGCAATAATTGCGCGATAAATTAATTAAAAATAATGATAAAAATATTAATTATTAATTTCTGTCTCGTTTAAACGACAAACACAGGACCGATAAAATGGTGACCTGTGCGATAATAACTTCATTTTAGTACGTATTCTTCTTCTAGAGTACGCAACGTTACGGTAGAGAGAAATCTGAGAGTGGACACAGGTCGGTATTCAGATCTTATATTCAAGATTCGTAAGCACAGTCTTAAGAATACATCAGAGGGCATCTTGAGACATCACTTAAGACAGTCTTGAAATAAGAACGGACTACGAATACCGCCCACAGTTAATATTTCCTTGTGATATTTCTATATATGTATACTGTATAAGTAAATATTCTGAATGAATGAATTCAGGAAATTTGAGTTACTTTCATGCAACATATAGTCTCTTTTATCGACTGTTGGTACATGTTTTAAAGAGAATAGCTATATCATTCTATGGGTACATCTGAATGAATGAATTCAGGAAATTTGAGTTACTTTCATGCAACATGTAGTCTCTTTTATCGACTGTTGGTACATGTTTTAAAGAGAATAGCTATATCATTCTATGGGTACTTTCCATTTGGTGATACAAATTATCGACATAATATGTAAATATAGAACTAGAGAAACAATAATGTTTGTGTTACCTTGTGTCACCACATGAAAAGTTGCTAATTTTTTATTTATATATATCTTTAATTACAATTTGTGAAAGTAGCATACCAAATCCATTTTTATCAACAGTGTCAGAAATATGATACGTAGTTATATCAATATAGTTTATATCAATTACTTATTTAAATTAAGGGGATGCTGCAGGGACCCAATTATCGACATTGCAGTTTGATCAAAATCTCCGAATTGACTAAATGGAATAAAAAATCCTTTTATAGGATTAAAGTAAACACAAAATCTTGATGTGGTGCAGTAGATATTATACTATAAAATCGAAAAAAAGTAAAAAATGTTTTTAACTTTTTTTTTATTTTAGTGTATTTCTTATTTTATATTTTAAATAATTTCTTGTGACTTATTTCTTATTTAATTTTTTAAATAAGTTTCTGGAACTTATTTTATATTTTTTATTTTAAATAAGTCGTATCAGTTATTTTACCGAGTCCTGCTTTTAAAGCATTTGTATCGAAACCTCATATAACATTTTTTCTTTTTTCCATTGCACTTATGTTAGTGTATAAAATGCTTCCGCAATTAATTATCTGTTAAATAATATTATTTAAATAATATTATCATGAAACTTTTTTCCTAGGATGAAAAGTGAAAAGTGAAAAATTTCTCTATTAACTTCAATGGTTAAAATTTTCACTTTTCACTTTCCATCCTAGGGATAAAGTTTCATGATTGATACCCTGAATACACCCAATGCAATAATAGGTCTATTCCTTTTAGCTGAACTTGCATGGCTCATCTTTTTTCTCTTTTATTCTCCAACGTGGAGAGAAAAGGAAGAAAAATCAACCGTGCAAGAACTTCAGCTAAAAAGAACTGACCTAATAACATAGATATTCGCCTTAATAGAAACGCCAGATTCCTGAGAACGTACTTAAAACTTGTCTTCCCGCCAAATTTCCATCACACTTGTTTATAATATCAGCTTCATTTTACTCATTATTCACTTCAGTTTATTGTACTTTTCTGGATATATATATAACGTGTTTTGTTGTAATTCATTGATAAAATGGATGCTGTTCCCCAACAAGCTATTTTGGCACGTGTGCGAGATGAGGTTGGCGTCAAGTGTCAAAAATTGTTTCAAGATTTTCTGGAGAGGTAATTTCTCATATAGGTTGAATATCTTTGACATTATAAATGATATAAATTTTAAGATACATTTTCAACTTAATTTGACTTGCTCGGATTAAAGTTGAAAATTAGTAATTAATTCCCTTTATTGATCGTTTTTCTATCACAGATTTAAGGAATTTGAGGTTGTTAAATACTTGGAGCCAGCTAAAGAACTTATCAGTCCAGAACGATGTACACTAGAGGTGTCTTTCGATGATACAGAAGCATTTAATCAAATGCTTGCTACAACTATAATTGAGGAATATTACAGGTTTATCAGTGATTACTATCTTTTTTTATTTATGAGAAATAGAAATAAAAATTTTCTTTATACAACACAGGGTATATCCATATTTATGTCAAGCTGTCAGCAACTTTGTTAAAGATGTGGGAAATTTACCAAAAGATAAGGAATGTTATGTCAGTTTTACTGATGTACCTATTAGGCATAAATTAAGAGAATTAAACACATCGCTGTTGGGTACTTTGACTCGTATATCCGGACAGGTGGTACGAACCCATCCTGTTCATCCAGAATTAGTCCTTGGTACATTTATTTGTATGGACTGTAATGCGTATATTAAAAATGTAGAGCAGCAATTTAAGGTATGTATAAAAAATAAATAAATATGTATATAAAGGTTTAAGTATATTTATATTATATGTATAAAACACATCTGAACATTTTTGTTTTAGTTTTCAATTTTCATTGTTTACAGTTTACAAATCCAACAATCTGTTCTAATCCAGTTTGTAGCAACAGACGCCGTTTCCTGTTAGATGTAGATAATTCAATATTTGTCGACTTTCAAAAAGTGAGAATCCAAGAAACGCAAGCTGAACTTCCTCGAGGTTCTATACCTCGCTCTCTTGAAATTATTCTGAGATCTGAGATAGTTGAGACAGTGCAAGCTGGTGACAGGTAGGTTTAAAAATACAAACGTTTTAATGTAAGCAAAATTAAAATTGAAAACTAATAAAATCATTCATATTTTTACAGATATGATTTCACTGGAACTCTTATAGTGGTACCAGACGTGGGAGCATTAGCTTTGCCAAGTGCTAAGGCTGAAATGGGACCAAGAACCAGGAATAATGAGCAGAGGGAAGGTGTAACTGGTCTTAAGGCGCTTGGTGTTAGGGAACTGACATATAAAATGGCATTTCTTGCCTGCAGCGTTACTAATACGAGTGCAAGGGTAAACAAAATCAAGCACATGAAATAAAATATATGTCTATGTTTTAAGAAAAATAATATATATTTGATTGGCCTTATATTCCAGTTTGGAGGTACAGATGCAATGGAAGAAATTTCGCAAGAAGCGATGAAGAAACGGATGACAGAAGCAGAGTGGAATCGCATCTACGAAATGAGTCGCGATAGAAATTTATACAAAAACATAGTTTCTAGCCTCTTTCCCGCTATACATGGCAACGACGAAATTAAGAAGGGAATTACACTGATGTTTTTTGGCGGTGTAGCAAAAACTACAGAGGAAGGCACGTCGCTGAGAGGAGATATCAATGTTTGCATTGTCGGTGATCCCAGTACCGCCAAATCTCAATTCCTCAAATGTGTATCCGATCTTTCGCCCAGAGCAGTTTACACGTCTGGAAAGGCATCGACCGCAGCTGGTTTGACGGCTGCAGTTGTACGAGATGAAGAATCTTCGGACTTTGTCATAGAAGCTGGGGCATTGATGCTCGCTGATCATGGTATCTGCTGTATCGATGAATTCGATAAAATGGATCCAAAGGATCAAGTTGCGATTCACGAAGCTATGGAACAGCAGACAATTTCAATAACTAAGGTATTTAAAGTTTACACAATGTACAAGGAACTTTGACTTATTAGATTCCACGTTTCTAGGCTGGTGTAAGAGCAACTTTAAATGCTCGAACTTCTATACTAGCAGCAGCAAACCCCATCGGTGGACGATATGACAGGAGAAAATCATTGCAGCAGAATGTACAATTAACCGCACCTATTATGTCGAGATTCGATTTATTCTTTGTGGTGCTGGATGAATGTAACGAAATTGTCGATAACGCAATTGCTAAAAGAATTATAGATTTACATTGTGATAACTTGAATGATCTTCAAGTGGTATACCAACAAGATGAGATTATCAGATATATCAATTTTGCTAAACAGTTTAAACCCATTTTAAGTCAGGTAAGATACATTGGATAAATTATTTGGCGATATTAAAGTTACATTAAGATAATTTTGTTCCATTTTTATAGGAAGCTGCTGAGCTTTTAGTCGAAAATTACACTGTTCTCAGACAAAGAACAGGTAGTGGAAGCGGCAAATGGAGGGTCACCGTGAGGCAGTTAGAGAGCATGGTTAGATTGTCCGAAGCATTGGCGAAAATAGAATGTATGGACGAAGTAACAATAAAGCATGTGAAAGAAGCGAAACGATTGTTACAGAAAAGTATAATTACGGTAGAACAGCCTGATATAGATCTCGAAGAAGGCATGAACCATGGAAACTTAGGTATGGATATTGATGATGAGCCACCACCGCTCATGGCAGCATTTAACGCAGGAGGCAGCGCAGGAGGCGACGCAGGAGATGATAATGCACCACCTTCAACACGTACGTCTGCATAGTCCTTTTACTGTACATAACGCAGGTAATATACTTATTACATATATTTAAGTTAATATTTACTTTTAATTGATTAGCGTCTAACGGAACGTCGCACGAACCGCCAAAGAAAAAATTAACTATGACCTTTGAGGAGTATAAAAATTTGTCGAATATGCTGGTTCTTCATATGAGAAGCGTGGAAGAGAGCGAAGGTACTTTTATTATATCGAAATAAGAGAATTACTATTACCACATTTTTGATTATATATCCATCTGTTAAATTAATGTTTTTTAATAGATGACACTAGAGGTGGCATACGGAAATCTGAATTAATTGCTTGGTATCTTGATCAAATACCAGATCAACTAGAGTCAGAAAAAGAGTTACTAGATCAGAAAAACTTTATTGAAAAGATTATTGATAGACTAACATACCATGTATGTACCAATATTTTCATATATTTTATATAGCTGATATATTTATACTTTATAATAATTTATTGCACAATTTTATTTTTAGGATCAAATTATAATACCTTTAACAACGACCAGCTTAAGAAGTAGAGATGAAGAAGATGAGAATCCTTTACTTGTTGTTCATCCCAATTATGTCATGGATATGTAATTTTAAGAATTGATGTGCCTTAAGATAAAAAAAAACGATTAATTATTTTATACAGAAAAGCATACGTTTTAAAAATATTATTTTATCTTATACAGTATGTATGTAATGTATTAATATTATATTTTTTTACCTGAATTCGTAAGTGTTATAAACTTTACGGAATTATTAAATATTTTCAACTACTGTAACGATAATAAAAACATTTTTATAGCATCGATGAAGCATTCATTTATTCCTTGTCATCTACTTAAATATTTTAACCTGGGGGGTATAAAAAACTTGTTTGCTATGTCCCATATTTAACATTGCTGACACCTGAAATAAATCAATCTGATTATGACATGCCGAGATATAAACGATACCTTTTTTTAACAATAATAGATCTATATTTTCAAGGTATATTTTCAAGGTATCAAAATTAAAATAATAAATGTTATTTAAATACATACTTATTTATAAATCAGATACCATAAAATATACAGAGTAATCTCGTCTTGTATCTGTTTCAAGAATACATTAATTAACATGGTTATAAGTCATAATAATTAACGTATGACGATTTGCTATGATGCGCTAATTAACACACATTTCAAAGCTTGAAAATGAATCTGTTCTAGATTGAACGTTGAAATCAACAGCAGCTTCAGTAACTTCAACAGATTCGGATTATTTTAAGTGCACCCACACGATATCAAAGGAGATGTTTATAAACACTTTGTCTATTTTAAATGTAAAATTTATAAATATGTGTACATTTTACATTTTTATTATAAAGACGTTTACAAAATTAGTAATGAAAATTTGTAAATTATCTTAACAATCTTTTATCATATTTGTAGCAATTTGTATTGAAATTTAATTATTTGTAGAGCTTAACGTGATTTGCAGACTGTGTTACTTCTACACATTCGTCAGTATATACAGTTTTAATGCGATGAGGATATATAGCACGTGCTTTATCGCTGCTTAAATGTACACAAAGTAATAAAGTATGTAACAAATGTCTTAACTGTTTATGTAGAAGTGTTCTGTGCAGTAATTAGGAACGTCACTTCGCCATTTAATGTTACGGGATGTCTGCGCAAGAGGTACCGATAACAGAATTGCAACAAGTGAGTATTATATATTTGAAGTTTAATATTATATTTAAGTAAGGTGTGAATTTCCGTGTGAAATGGTTGACATAAGTCCATGATAGTGTTCTAGATTATATCATATCTCTCCTGATAACTTCTGTTTGTGCTTAATGATGTTATTTCAGTCATACGAGAAGTATCCGTAAAATATCATTATTTTCATCGCAAAAATAAGTTTCACATTTCATGATTTATTTTTATTTTGAATATAAAATATTCTTTTTTAGTTAAAAACTTATCCTTTAGTTAAAAACATTTAAATTGCATGTTGTTTCTTACAAATCGTATTTTTTTAGTTGCAAATTTTAATGGTCGGTTTAAAATACTTAATAAAAAAATGTGACATACATATATTGTTTATTAAACAAAATTTTTCTCTTATTAATAAAAGAATTTAATTTTTTTTTATTGTGTGTGGAAAGTTGTCATGTGCATAAAAAGTGTATGAAAGAAATAAAATAAATCAACAGGAAAAAACATGGGTAGCGTGCGTAGGCGACTTTGCGATTTTGAAGGAATTCTTTGCACACAAAAGACGGCGAATTTGGCACGCGGTGCAATTACTTGATGCTTTTCTACGTGGATTTGGACAAGTGAGTGATAAAATCTGAACATATTGCATATATATTATTTTTTATAATGTTACAATTCGCGTAACTTGTGGCTATTTTTGAATATTGATGCATTTCGATACGAAAATCTCGGAATATCGTCTCGGAATTTCTCGTATTATTAAAAATAACATTTCCGAGATTATCATATGTCATTTGTTTTTTTCGTCTCGTCTCATCTCGAAAAAAATTGGAGAAATATCAGAATAAGAAATAAACATTAAATAAATATTACCTATGAAAGAGTTAAAATCAGATCAGAGACAGTCGTTGATTCCGTCGCATCGGCTTAATAAAAAATATACATTTCTGCATCAACAGTAACCAAAGTTAATTAAATTTAAACATTAAGAGGTTAAGATCAAACAAAATAATTGATTTTAAAATATTTATTCTATAATATTAGTTATACTGAGAAAAAAATATAGTCAATTTTAATAAATATTTTTAGTTCAATATACTGCCAACTAAATATTTACTTACAGTAAATAAATATTTGTTTAGTAAAAATAATGATTGTTAAATCAAATTAACATTTCTTATATCAAATAAATATATCTTTATATTTAATAAATATTTAGTTGGCAGTATATATATATATTTTCAACTAAATATTTATTGTCTGTCATCAGATCCTGCACTAAATATTTATTAAAATTAACTATATTTTTTTCAGTGTAAGAAAACTAATTAATATAGATAAAAATAAAAATTAAGTAAAGGACATATAAGAGTCAATAATCAATAGAACTTAAAAATAAAATAAAGACATATAATATAATTTCTTGATATCAATCTTTACAATATCTTGGTATAATATCTCGATTGTCTAACAATTACATGTTTCGACTTCTTGATCGAGCCATCCTCAGATTTACAAAATTTGTAGTCGTAAAATACAGTAAACGAGTGAATAGAAAAAACCATGCTATGAATATAGTTAGCGATCTTCAATGGACGTCGATAGACAAAAATTGTTCCCAAACAGTTGGTAGACTGAATGTTGAAATTTCGATTAACCGGAGAAGTCACAATGTATGATAAAAAGTTAAAACGTGTGTCCATTAATGGTCAAAAATATTCTTTTGTGGAAAGTGAGTCAATTACACAATAAAGCAAACTGGATGACAAAATTAACGCATGTGAACGTAACAAAAATCAAGCGACTAATTAATATAGCTCTTAATGAAAATTAAAATATTTTATTTTTTTGAATGAAAATATAATAAAACGTTATAATTGTGTATTGTGATATGACGTTTGCACCGTCCGTCGTAAATAAAATGAGATAGTCGATATTCTTGAATATCTCGCGATAAAATTCGAGAATCTCAAGAAGCGAGAATATCGGCCCATCGAGACGAGAAAATCGTATCAATCATTTGTTTTTGTCGAGACTAAATCTCGGTGTCGGTATTTTCTCGTCTCGTCTCGCTCGAATGCATCACTATTTTTGAATAAAAAGCTAATAGAAAGATAACTATATAATGTAATCAAATAACTTTTATTATTCTATTTGAATTTTATGTACTGAAAATGACTTAAATTGATGGTCGAAACGTTTACATTATTGAAGACAAACTTTTATATACGCATGACCTAATTCTCATAACTTTTAAAAGTATTCTTTTGAGATAATTATGTATCTTCATCACAACATTTGAGGTATTATTATAATTACGCGAGATAAACACAGAAAGGAATACTAGAAAATTCTTTGTAATCCTTATTAATAAAAGAACACAAAGAAATAATGTCTCATATTTTTACAAAAAAATTCCTTCATTATTAAAGAATGTTATATGAAAGCCGTCTTATGAAAGTTGATTCTTCAAAAATGATTCTTCGCGATGAAAAGAATTCAGTATTAGTAGTAAGATCATTACCTTTTTATGCATTTACCGCTGAAATGCCACACAGGAATAGCCAGACATATCTTTAATTAACGTCAATTGGCTTTAATTAACGTTACAGATCGTTTTTGCGAATAATCCTCTCAGCGGGCTGCTGATAATAGTTACCTTGGCTGCGGTAGCACCAGGTACATTGGCGTTGTCTGCGGCCACCGCCGGCCTTGGCCTCTTACTGTCCGTGGTATGTTTTATTAATCATTAGCCGCAGTGTCAAACGGTTTGTTCTTACCAAAAAATGCAACTACGCTTTTTGCCGCATTGCGCCCGAGAGACGGACGGCTTGTTCCTATTTCCCTATTCATATGCGACGATGCATCGTGACGAACGCTCGCTATCTCTTTTTCATCTCTTTCGGACCTAATGGACCGTTTGCGTGCACACGAGGAAAAATCACTGCAATGCGGCACCGCTTTTCGCCTAGCAGCGACCCGAGGAAGAGTTCCAGCGTGGAATTCTCATTACGATCTTAACGCGATTTAAGGATCCTCCGTTTTTTTGCAGCTCATACGAGAACCCGACAATATTGTAGAGAACGGAGTAAGCGTCTTCAATCCTTTACTAGTTGGAGCGATATCGTATGCTCTGATACCGCAGATTTATGGAAGTTTCGATTCCTTCAGCTTTTTACTTGTGCTCCTGGCGACGATACTCAGGTACATCTGATTATTTCATATTCTCTATGGAGTATTTAAAATATTATACAATAATACGGATAAACATAAATACGACACTTTAATTGTAAATTCTATCGATTAAATGAACTCAAAATATATGTATCGCGAAAATGATAAATACCCTTCCGGGTAATGTTCGAATAAACACATAGCGCCGGTATAGGTATGCGTGTAAAATAATTCTGCATATAAATAACAAATTATTTATTTATAAATAACATCTTGATGGCGATACTGAATTTAATTAAGCTAAAATATACGCAAATTAATGTAAATTGATGATTATGTTATGTTGTCAGAGAGAATAGCAGTTTGTATACATTGATGCATAGTTGCACGCATTATAATAAGCTTTAAGCACGAACTTTATGAATTTACGGATAACGTTATGAGTTTAGACAACACCAAGTTAAACGTATAGAAACTAACGTGAAACGCATCGTAACAGTCTCTATTTGAGATTTCGAGCAAGATATCTGGAATAATTCGCGACGGTAGATTATGCGGCAAACTGGATTACCAGAGTTAGCCGGAGTTCACTTGTCATCCACATTGTGGCTTCAGTAACATTCGCAAATTTCAACAGCTCCTGTTAATGTTTTCCAGTGTTTATCTCTCGCGGTCCCTGAGAAGCGATAAATTCTCGTGCATAGCGTGGCCATTTAACTTGGTGGAATTTGCGTTGATTTTCGCCCTCTCAACGCAGAATGGCGTGGACGTGGTAGCTAAATCTGTGGAACCAATGTTTGAAATGGTAAAGCAATTTTACATGCTTGATATGTTTATTAGTTAGATACATGCATTATTATATAGAATTAGCGGTAAGTAAATTTTATTAAAAAGTTTTAGTAAATTTTATTAAAAATATAATATTTTAAAAAATGCAATAATTTTAGATAGAACTAATAAATATGAAATGTCATAATTTTGTAATTTATCAGTAAAGACTCATGCCTTTTCATCTAAAGAAATTAAAGCTAATATAATAAAAATCGTTTAATGATAATCTCCGTATTCTTCTGAAGCTGACGGTGAGAATCTATTAGATTCATTTAATTATAAATTTTTTTGGCAAAAATATCAAATGATTCCATTTTTTTATGTTACATCTGCAAATTTTATTCTTATTAAAATATGCTTAGTATTCATTCTTTTTTATATACGAGTGATCTTGATATTAATTAGTGCCTTTTAATTAGCATAAATTAAATGAGCTTTAATGAGATCTAATGTCAATAATTGTGTTACAAATTTTGGTGTCAGCTCCGGGTTAAATATATATATGTACAATACACACACATATATATACTCACAATTTAATAAGAAAGAAAGAGGGGAAACATAAGACTCATGAAACATGCAGAAGGCACTTTATTTCATGAATGCTACTCTCATTTGAAACAATAGCAAATAAATGATTGAGATAAAATCACAATTTTAGAGTGTCGGTCCTAAACAACGAAAGTAAATTTGATGAGAATAGAGCGGAGGCTTCGGCGCGAAATAAAATTCGCTTGGAAAAGCGCTCTCAGTATTCAGACCATACATATTTGACGTGCCTTCACGAGGGAGAATGCTATCCTCCGTGGGTCGGAGCATGGCTTTTCTCCGTATTGATCAAACTCTAGCACGAACAACTCCGTCGACGATAACTTACCTTGGCTCGGATTTATTTCGCCCTAACTAGTCGCCGGCTGTTTATTTCAGTTAAATATTGGGCAAGTTCTCTTTACGTTTCTCTTTTTCGCGGCCTGTTTCCCGTTAATAAACAGCTCTACAACAGTGGAATATTTGAAAATATAGCTCAGTTGGGTGGTTCTCTTCACTCATGTAAATATATTAACTTCTCATACATCGTGCCATTACTTCTGCTATCCACCAGGATCCTCGCAATAATGAGAAAAATTAACTTTGTACTCTCGTTAAACTTTGCGATGCTTATGTACGGAAAATTTAATGGTAAATAAGGAAATTTGCAAAAATCGCAGGTGCATGTACCTCCTTTCTCATCTAAAAGGTGAAAAGTTTCTTCCTCATATTACAAAAATTTACGGCCGAACTGGACGCGCGCATGGCGGAACATAAATTACTTCTCCGTGAGACATATTTCATCATAAAATAGTTTGAACCTTCTCTACACTCGTCGAATGACTGCCGCGTGCATTTCTCTATCATACGCGGGTTATTGTGCAAGACTTTCTCATTGTTTTCAGGACAATGCAACAAGTGAGACAACGACAACGGACGCCGCCGGATTCTACGAGCAGAATGCGACCAGCGTTTACATCGACTGGGGAATGGTAGAGTTTACTCATGTTCTACTTTTTGAAACTTTATATTCTTGACTTTGCATATATATTAGCATCTCGAGGGTCTTGAAAAGTACTGCAAAGCTTCATTAGTTACACAGTTTCGTACGTCAGAACCCGTGATTACTTTTCCAATTGTAAATACGCTTATACATTATAGTCAAATCTTATTACATGACGTATTTTAACAAACTTTTTGAAAACAATTTTTATCGTTTAATTGCCTTGCATTTCACTACAATGAAAGCCATATATATTGACACAATACACTGTGATTTTGTAACGGATAGTGTTGTACGTGCATACGTCAAGGCACAGCATTCTCTATATGTTGATACAGTTGCTTATAGATAGACGATACTTGTAACTTTAGATTTATTGAATATTGTTACAATATTGAGAGACATTTGTTGGAACAGAATCTCTTTTGTAGCTGCTCGGAATAACTGTGTGTTTGTGAGACGTATAAAAGTAAAATGGAAGTAAATATATCCGTATCTTCTGTTGCTCGAGGGAAATGTTGCAAAAGGTATATAAATTGTGATATCAATCTATTTGCTTGTTCTCAAAGTTAAATCGTGTTTCAGGTTGTACGAGGCAGCGTTGTCTCCGCGTCACAGCTGTTCGGAGTCGATAATGTGATCGTTGGAGCTATCATGTACCTGGCAATGCTAATATACTCGCCTGTAACAACCGCATTTTCGTATTTCGGTGCTCTTTGCGGAACATTCGCAGGTATTTAAATAATTGTTACGATATTTATACACAAAAAGTGGCAGGAAAGTATATGTACGATAAGAAGAACGATTTTGTTGAAAGATCTAAAGTTTTAGACTGGATACAAATCTGAATATGATTTTGCAATACGAATGTAAATAATCGTTGTCGATGTATTTTTTCCTGCTGAACACAAATCCGTTGATAAAATTTAGCTAGTATGTTAATTTTGAAAAAATAAGGCAAAAGTGACGATTTTGAAGATTTCATATAGCATCGGTATCGAATTTTTCTTTAAATTTTATTAATGCCCTGCAAAAATATCAACTTTTAGCTTTAAAATGCATTTTGATTCGTTTCGATATGATTTTTCAAGATATATCAATTTAAAAAATAGCTCTTTTCCTATATGTAATACACGTTTTTATGAACATATTCAACAGGCAAAAGAGTACGTCGGAAATGATTATTCATATTTAGTTTATTAAAATGTACATAAAATATACATGTATATTAAATTATATATTCGTATTGCAAAAAAGGTCAAATTTTAGCGGACAGTAATTTTGGATTTTATCAAAATAATTTTGTTAGAAACTCAAACTGATTGCTAGAATATCAAAACTTTTTGCGATATTGCTCATCATTTTAGTTTCCAACAAAATTATTTTCAGGATTTTAAATTTTTTAGCGAAATCGTTCTTTATATGAGAAGAGGAGAAGAGGAAAATGAGAAAATTGTTGATCTTTGCACATTTTTAATGTACGTTCAATGAAGTATAGAGAGTGATTAAAATTCGCTGAGCGAATGCTTTCACGAAGGGAGGAAGGGGTTGAAAGCAAGAGCATTTGTTTTTAGATAAAAGCGTGAAGGGATAAATTATCGTTGTCATAAATTTTTCGTTAGGCCTGGAACTTGGAGCGGATAAACACAGAACCTACAGCGGGATGTGGGGGTACAACAGTCTCTTGACCGGGGCTGCTTTGGGTGGAAATCTGTTGGTGCTGAACGGTCAAACGGCCGCCGCCACCATCATGGCGATTATTTACACTCCACTCCTGCAGTACGCCATAGAATCGATATTTGTAAAAGTGACTGAAGCCTCTCTTTCCTTCTACTCGATTAATTCGTAATATCTCGCTGACTTTTAACATTTTATCGATATTTTAGATGCAGTTACCGGTACTGTCGCTACCGTTTGTGATAGCGACTTCGTTATTTCTTAAATTGAGTGAAGGCAGGGAGGATCCAACATTTCCGTGGCCTGTATCAGTAACCTTTCCTGAGAAGCAACGTTATTATTATGTCACACGTCGTGCATTTCAAAAGGTACTTCTCTCCCAATTTCATATGCTCTCTCGCAGGCCTCTCTCTTTCGTCACACCTTAGATATAAAATTTTATATTCGCGATGATAGAAGTCGGGATAAACGGCGTACTTTATCATCGCGGCTTATATCAAATTCCGTCTTGCCTAAACCTGATTTGTGACTGAAACTTTTCCCGCGATAAGATGGCTCTCAGAACCCATCAAAACCACGCCCTACAAGAAGGACGGAAATTGATTTCTGCCCTACTCTTAACTTACGCGTAGGTTGAATTGTCTGACAAATCAGAGCTAAAAAAAAATAGAATTATCGAATCTGATGTCATAATTATAATTAATAATAATCTATAGTAAAAAGCTCGAAAAGCTGGAAGAGGCAGATTGAAAAATTTATTACTAAAGTTAAATACAGACGAAATGTATAATTATTGTTTTTTTTATTACAAATAAAGTAAAATTAGATCATACATTATAAATTACATATTGAATAAATATGAATTTAAAATATGTTATTTAAATTTATGTATTATTGTAGGAAGGTACTGCGGAAGAACTTGAGCTCGTCACCGGGAATGAAAAGAGGCCAATCCCATCGGATAATTAACGGCCTTTTCTCTAAGTAATATATAATTATAACTTAGATTACACATAGTAGGCGTTAGTTTTGAACATTTTTCGTACCATCTTAATCATTTAAAATAATCTCTCACTTTTAAGTATTTATATGTACAAATCATTCTCATTTTTAAGTATTTATGTATGACTAACAGTCGATCATTTAACTTCATTGAACTTGCTGTGTATTTCTGACAATGGCCTTCAATTTAACTAACGTCAATCCAATAACCGAGTTTGCCATCTATATCTGCTCGAAAAGGAATTATCCTTCTGCCAATTCGATCACGCGGAATAGATAAAGTTATTCTTGCGAAACTTGCGAATATATACGTTCTTCAAGCATCAACGATTGCTAATAGAAATCAGATTTGTATTACGCAGATGGACGAAAGTTAGGTAAATGTAACTACTCTATTGCATAATACCCTGTATAATATTCTTTATAGACCAAAGCAAAGATATTTCAGCAAAGATATTTCAGGTTTAATATCTGACTATCAAATTATGTATTTCATGCTAAATACAATACGGTTGGTGATTTTATTCTTGGACTACTATTTCTAACTTTAAACTTGTGACGTATCTCTGGTTTTACAAAGCGCCTCCATTATAGGATTTTCATATTGTACCAAATTGTAATGCTCAATATTTAATTTCGTCTACCTTTCGATTCTACATTGAAGATGACCTTAATTGTGGTCGAAACGTTTATTATTTATTATTGTTAATACTAATCCATACAAGTTTTATACATTACTATACTGTGTCGGCTTACATTGTCTTGCAATTCTGATTTATCAAAAATAATATGTTAAAATTTTTGAAAGCACAAGATGAAGAATTTACGAAAACAGATTGAGATACTTATAGAAAGTTATACATTGTTACTGTAAAAAATTCAAAAGTTATTAAATAAATTCAATAAAATTAATTTGGTAGAACAATTTCATTTAAAAAAAAAAGCTTTAATTTTTCAAACCATGCACGTACGCTCTCCTTTTTGTATGCAGCTTGCGCTAATGTCTCAGGAACGTTCCTGATTCCACCACGATTCTTCGCCGCGTTTCTAGATAATGGCGTACGTGCTAATCGTCTTATTTCACGTGGGCGATCCAGAACATAGGAGAGAAGATGATACATGAAGGTTTCTTCTGGTGGAAAGTGCTTTTTCGACGGGGTGCCTTTATTGAACTGCGAGAAGCTACAGGTCGATCGATGAAATTTATTTCGACGCTTTGGCTGTCAAAGGTTATAAATTCGATCGCCAGATTTTCCGAAGAAGCAACATTGCACCAAGGGAGTCACATGAAGCTCAATTGCTTACTGCTATTGGATATCGATTCTGGATTTCGATTCTCACAGTCGCACGAAAGCAAGCTGTTGCGAAATGTAAGACAAACAAAATTCGGCATATGAAGAAGAAAGTCCAATTGGCACTCTTCCAAAGCGGAAGAATAAGTAGATAGCTACAATCAACCTGCGAAAGAAATTTATCTCGAGGATGTTTTAACAAAGAAGAGGTCAGCCTGAGGGCCTTCCTTGACGCTGACCAATCTAATCAAACTAGCGAGGAAAGCGCTTTACTGTTCGTGCAGAAACTACCACAATTCGACCTCGTTCTTCAAGAAAGGGGAGCTAATAATGAAGAACAGTGGAGCAGGATTTCTGATTCCTTGCACGATTGTTACTCCTAACGTTACTTTGGCATCATTTTTTAGTTTTAATTTGTAATTTGATTTATGCAATCTTGGCATGCAGGGTTGGAAAGTTTCTTTATAAAGGTAATTCGATCGTTATGTTAACGTTTATTTCTCTGAAAAGTAACTCATTACTGATTTTAAAAAGAAATTTGTTACCGTTATCGTTTCTCAAAAACTACGGGTTATTATAATTTATGTTACTTTTTCACCGAAATTTGGTGATCTTTTTCTTTAAAGTTCTTTAGAATCATCTATGTGTCTGATCGCTAATTAATTTTCAACATGAAATTTACAATGATTATAATTAATCGCAAAATATAATGAAACATAATATTACTTTCTTTTTAAACTCGATTACACAATAAAAAACATTTTTTATTTATATTAAAATAAATCCATGTTAAAATTCCTGAATTTTTAACGTATCCAAATATTAATTTGACGTAATATAATTATGTCATTTGAACATTTTGTATTAAATTAATATCTCACATTTTTTAAGTGTTAAAATAACGCAATTTATTAATAAATAAACAATTAACATAAAAAGAATGTATTTTAAACATAAAATAAATGAATAAAATGTATTAATATAACATATTATAAATGTTAATTTCGTTGAAAAAATATGCTTCTATAATTTGCTTATAAATTGTATCAATGTCATATTTTTTGCATTAATTTTTACGTAATATCTGTGTTACTTCTCAACATACACGTCTTGTATTAAAATAATAATAACACAAAAATTTGAGTGGATCGTTTGGGACACGTGAAGTTTGTTAAATTTAACACAAATTTTCCAACTGTGTACATACGTTCTACATATATGTATCGTAGATATATAAAATAACGATTAACGGTCATATTTGTTATCATTACAGTACCGAAAGTTTTCAGAAATATTTCAGAAATATTTTAACTAAAAGGTGAAATATTTCATAAAAATTACGAAATATGTCTGCAACATTTCTGAAACAACTCTGGAATAGTAAAATGTCCGCGATTCTTGCACATGAAATCTTGTTGAAAGATTGATGAAAGATTACAGAAAGAATTTGCAATCTTTTTGAAATACTAAAAAGGTTTCATCTATTTGTAGTAACTACTATAAAAACAACATTTAAATATATATATTGATTGATACTTGAATAATATTTAAATTTATTATATGTCAACATAATAAATTAAATATTGTTTAAGTATCAATTTTAAACATATATTTAAATATAATTTCTGACATACTTAAAATTTTTCAAGAGTTTTGTGATCTGTTTACAAAACTTATTGAAATAAACTTCAGGTATTTCTCAAAAATAGTAATTATACTGCCAACTATTTTGATTAATTAATTATATTATATGTATAAGTACATATACGTAATCACTATTAAAAATCACACCTACAGTTTCCACACAATATCATTATTTATATACAAAAGTTTTTCGCAATTAAAGCAGAACAAGTCATTCATATACAAAAGTTTCTCACAATTAAAGTAGAACAAGTGATAATAAGATCAAAATAATGTTAAACTGAATCGTGAATGATTAAAAAAATGACTTTCAGTAAACATTTTGGAGCCATTTTAATATTATAATGATTTTTTGTTCTATTTAAATATGTTTTTCTATTTATTGCATATGATAATAGATTTCAGAAACATTTCTGTTAAAACATTTTATATGACATATTGCAAAAGCCTTTTAGAATCGTATGTGAAAGGTCAAAACATTTCTGAAAATTTTCCGTAATGATCAGTGTGCTGTATGAGAATATAGCTGCGTTATCATTAACGTTAGAAATAAGAAAATGTAATGTTAGTATTCATTGGTTACTGAAAAAAAGTAACGGCAACGACGTTACATGTAACGCGTTACTTCTCAACTCTGAATTATGGTTATTAATGTTAAGAATATGTATACGTTACGACGTTGTTAAAATGTAAAATTTTATCTTCGTCTGGTACAGTGAGTATCACGATCTATCTTTATAACGTAACCCGTAACTGCGCTGTTGCAGCAAGTAATAAAATGATTTATATCTCGATAAGCCCGGTTTAACACAGGGCCCAGATGCCTCCGCAAAGTCGGCTTTTCCTCTGCGAAACCTGTGTAACGGACATTTTCACATAGATAATTACACGATAGTACGTTAAAATTAATGTTGGTAATTCTCGGTTTGCCGACGTGCAATTTGCCATTTTGGGAGTAATTAAAGGCCAATCATTTTAATTTAGTACATCGACTCACTTACTAATAGCAGGACAATGAGTACGCGATACATCGATAATTAAACTATAAATTAAAGTTTAATTAAATTATAAAATTCATGCGAAATTAAACTAATATTATTAATGATACATACAATCTCTTTGTATTATTGAAATGCAATATTTGAAAGGTTTTACAGTACTCGAGAGCTTTTTATACCGTAAAAGCTATTGATTCTTGGATATTTTAAGAGCCACCATCCTTTTTAGTTCAGCTTTCAATATTTCTAATCCGGAGAGAGAAAAAGAGACTGCGCAATTTATAGAGCGTGCGATATATCTCTTTATCAAATTAATTAGCATACAAACCTACATTTCGAAGTCGCTGAAAGTGGCGCGGTTGCGTGTCGAATAAAAAGCGCGTGTGAGTAAAATAGTAAGGACTTTAAAGGATAAACATCTCGGTTCGTTGGCACCCTTAGAGTCCAACTCCAGCCAGGGAGAAGGGAGGAGAGAAGAGTCGTCCGTCGGCGATGACGACGGCGCCGACGTCGGTGATGCTGGTGGTGGTAACGACGTCGTCAGGAAGGGGTAGGGCTGAACGCATCCCTGCCAGATCGGCTACCTGCCCGCCGCCAACCCTGTCCGTTCCACGACGCTACCCCAGTACTCGGGCGATCGCTAGCACCCGCGCACGCGACATCCCTCCGTCGAGGGTGCGCGCCACCGCATCTCTATGTATGTATGTATGTGTGTGTGTGCGTGCGTGCTCACTGAGGGTGCTGCCGATTGCAGTGGCAGCCAGCAACGTGGTGCAGCCAGCAGCGTGACGTAGCCCACCCCGCGTGGCACGCTAATAGCTCGATCAACCCTCGCGCCCGTGCCGCGCGAGGGTGCACGGGGTGCCTAGAACCGTCACGACCTCCCGCATTAGGCGTATAAGAGGAGCTAGCCGCAGACCTCTGGTCAGCATCCGCGAGATTGGAATAATGTAGCGTCCTCGGTAAAGTCGTGTACAGAAGAAACGCGAGCAGTGAGTAGTATACACGACCAAGTATTGTCTTAGGACGCTCAGTAGTAGTGCCCGGGTTTGTGTGTGACAACAAGTACTCACGTTCGTTTCAGAGAGATCCGTTATAGTTGCTTCGGTTTCTGTCTCCTTCTCTATTTCCCTATTCATTGCAGATACATTTCTCAATAGAATCTGCTTTTTCTTTAAAAAGAAGAGTTTTGATGATCGAACTTTTATCCACGATGTTGTCATTGTACAGTCCAAGATTAACTCCTTCCATTTGTATCTTTCTTGACTTGAGTACTGATACTTTCTCGCACATACTTCCATTTCTTTTGCAAAAAGAAACATTTCAAGGATAAGAAACACGCATTGTGTTCGCGACATCTCATTTTTCTGAAGCTGTATATCATCTTCTTGTCGCTTTTTTTGTCTACGTTCGGCTACCCCCTCGTGTACGCTTTGTTTCGGCGCCTTTTCCCAGCTTACAAGATATCATGTATACGTTCGAGATAGCTACATTTCCTCTCTTATTCCCTGGAGAGACACGAGAACCGTTCGTCAGTGTGGTATTTGGGGTTTGCGGAAAAAGGATCATTCGAAAAAATTAGGGGTGACGTGAGCAGATCGGATGCTACGTCATGGTGACTGTAGTGAATAAGTTAGGATGATGTTTGGAAATCGAGGAATAGTTTGAAGCTCAGGTTTCCTCTCGCACTTTTATGTGTTCGCAGATCCGTCTCATGATACGAAATTGCAGAATCATCGAATGACTCAAAGCGCGGGAGAGTCCCTACATAGTTCAACATTCTCGGTACATCCATGTAGTATCGGGTGATTTTATGGTTAATCAGCTGCCAAAGCGTATCGATGTGTTGCGCTAGCCAATCAAGTCCTTCAAATGCTTTGACGCTAGAGTCTATAGAGCGGCGATGCTTGCCAACAAGCTACTTCATTTGCTCTATTGTTTATCGCTTTTTATTAAAAGAGGAATTTCATCCTCCTCTCACCGTATTTTAATTATAAAGAGAGTACTCTAGAGAATTTCTTTCTAATTTTGTTAAAGTTAAGAGTCTATATATAGAGAGATGCAATTAAAAGATTTTTTAATCTATAAAGTTATATTTTTAAAAAATTTTGTTTTATTATAAAGTTATACTCGTCAAAACAAAATTTTATTTTATTATAAAGTTGTATTTGAGGACTTTTATTTTGTTCTAATTCAAAGTATATAGAGATGAAAAGTTTTTTAAATTTTATAAAGTTATTTTTAAAAACTCTTTATTAGATTTTATATAATATGTGTAATTTATATATTCGTCGCTGAAATACTGCGGTATCAACATTTTTATGTTTATGTGCAATAATTTTCTCAAACCTATAATGTGTGTTAAACTGAATTTAACCGTATTATTAGGATAATCTGGATCGATGATGAAATGGGTTTTGATTATTTATCGACCATCGAGAACATTCCTGAAACGCTCTTCGACAATGTCCAGAGAATATATAATGCTCACGTTATTCAAGGCTATTCAGGGTACACCAGAATCTAAAATTATCGGGTATAATAGTTCGATTATGCGGTCACATTGATATAGCTAATAATTTTTTACTCGGAACGTTTTATCTCAAACCCCAAAAGTTTCGGAATTTATTTCAGAATCTAGATAATTCTTAATCTCAATTAGGATGACTTCCGCGCAATTCGTCATACCGCATTCTAATCGGACATAGCCTGCGTGTTTCGGTCGTCCTTCGCATTGCGTCGAACGAAGGAACGGAGTCATTAGCTATATACGTGGGTAGTCGGAATAGGTCGTGAGAAATCGCTCGAGCTGAAACGAGTACCAGCGTGATTCTGATTCTGTTTCAAAAGGGACCAGTCGATCCATCACTGTTGCTGCTTTGGATTCTGTTTCAAATAGATTTCCTCGATTTAAATATATTTCGATAATCGCGTCACGAGCATGATTTTGTGTTTGCGAAATACACAAACGCAACATATCTTCGAGGTTTGTGTCATCAAATGATCCTCAAGTGCGTATTCTTGGTAATTTAAAGGACGTCAAGTATTTCGAGAGCATCGAGCGTCGCAGCCAATCGATAGAAAATCGATGGGTCATTGAAGATTATCTTTCGTCATTAAAATTGTATTCGCTGCAAAAATACGACAGCGGTGTAACGGACTTTGCAATGAGAGACTAGAAACGTAACGCGACACCGGCAAGCGATATCGGGTTTATCGGGTGCTTTCGATTATTCGCGCGTACACATCTGCGCAAATAGTGGCTTCGATTAATCATCCGGTAAAGCAGACACTTGTGGAAGAGATACTCGCGTATGATGGAAACGCGAGCGCCGGCGGAGCCGCTGGAAGAAATTTACGGCAACCGCGGGGAATCATCCGTCTCGTCGAGCACGGCGAATCATCTGATATTTGCCATCAGATAATGCACGGCCATCGCCGATAATGGAGCGCAAATCCGGCTAAGACTCGCATCGCGAAGCTGACCGTTGGAGCCAAGAACGGTTCGCCGAACATCGATTGGCTCCAGGCAACAGAACGAATTCAGACTGCTTCCTGACGTGGCGAGCACGCCCGAGCGAGCTAATCGGGCGTGCAGTTGCATCTGCGGAGATCTTGGACCTCTCCTCGATTTTGGATCCGCTGCGGAGCAGCGACGAGAAGCGCGAGAAATTGGAACAAATGAAGAATTATCGATGTTTTATCTTTCTTGCCAAGTAGAGCAATTAGCGATAAGCAAACGGAACCGAGTTAGATACTGCCGGCAAGATGCTTGCTCAAGTATCAAGATATTTACATAAATTGCGCGCATCATTTGGCACGCGAGAGAAATAGGAACGAGCGTTTAGCCTAGCTCGTTTTCGATTCAGTGAAGAAGAAAGATATACTCCCCTCACACGGCCATTGATGCAAGAAGTCCTGGCTGCTAATGCGGACGTATTGGAACGACGGTGATTACCAGCTTTTATGCGGCTTGTAGCTGTTACCGTTACCGGGGAAGAAGATCGTTAGTAGCGTCGCCCGGAAATCCTACGGAAGATTAATGACGGTAACAACGTCGCGACGACAGTAACCGATAAGGAACCACGGCCGAGAGAGAACAAGATCGCGGCTCTCTCACTTTCTATCTCTGTCTCTGGTCCAGCGGTCGGTGACACAGGCGGTCGGCTTCATGTTGTCGCGCTTCCTGCAGGAACTGTCGTCAGCGGACAACAGGAGTGCCGTCGCGGCGAAACGGAAGGAGGAGGGCTTGTGATCGTTTCGGCAGCGGGTCGATCGTTCCCGCGGCACAACCGATCGCACGACGGCGATCGCCACGAAAAAAAAAGACGGTGACGCCGTCGACTTCCGACGTCGCCGACAAGGCGGTGTCGACGGACGATGGCGGCAGCGGCGGCATGGAAGTGGCGCGTTTGGAGGCTGTCCTCGCCGCCCTGGTGGAGACTAAAGTGGAAGCGATGAAGGCGTCGTCGACGCTTAGCCGACGTTCCGGCAGCGCTCCCACCAGTCCGCGTCGACCTAGATTGACCTCAACCTCGACGGCCTCCTCCTCGTTGAACCATCACCACCATCATCACCACCACCATCATCATCATCATTCCCAGCAGCAGCAACAGCAGCACCAACATAATAAGAAGAAAGGCCAGCATCATCAGCACCACCGCCATCATCGCAGACGTCACGACTCCGCGCCCTGCGGGAGTGATTACCTCAACAACGCGGTGGATCATTCTCAGCATAAATTATCTAATGGTAAGTGTGTGAGTCGTTTTTATGGATATAACATAATGGGCGAGAATTAGTTTTTATGGAGATAATGCAATTAGTGAAAAATTAGCTTGGATCCTTTCAATCTAATAAAACCGAAGAGATTTATCTTCTTACGAGAGATTTTTCTTTGCATAAATATACGAAGTAAAACGTTAATCGGTTTAATCAATCACACGCGCGAATCTGAATAAAAAGTAAAATAAAATGAAAATGTTTGGTAGATTATAAATAGATAAATAAGGCGTTTATTATTGTTATAGGGCAAACCCTCTAAAAAATAACAAATAGATTGAATGGAAATAAGGAAAAATAACATAGAACATAAAAAAATAATACAAATGGAAAAATATAACGAAAATAAATGAAAATAAAAGAAAAGGATAATAAAAGATACGAGATACAAACAGAAAAGAGATACAAACAAAATATAAATATATTGTAAAAAAAAAAATAAAAATAATATACAAAATTTTCTCTCCGGTTTGGCTTGATGCATAAAAATAACGCAACGAAAACATTCACTTAATTAATTTTGTTAAATATTGATGAAGGCTGACCGATATTCGCTAATTATGCTCTTCCTGTTCTAGGAAGGGGACGGAGAAGAGCCTCCGAAAGTCCTCGAAGCCCTCGAAAGAAGCGCAGGCATTCGAGGAGCCCAAATGTTCTCCAAGGCGTCGTCCAAGACGTTCACGCCGGCCTCGATTCGCGCTTCGAGCTGCTTGGCATTGACGGCGACCAAGACGTGGCCCTAATAAATTTCGAAAGGGCTAAAGAAGTCCTCGGCGACTCCTGCGAATATCCGCGGCTGCACCGAAGTGCCTGCTACTTTTCTCAAAGCGCAGCTCAATTGTAAGTACTTCGAGTGTACAACTGTATGCGACAATAACAAATGTCGGCGAGATAAATCTTTAATGGATTTCGTAGAAAGAATAAGATTTCTTTTAAAATCATACTATTTTCTTAACGCCGAGAATTAGGACGTCGCGATAAAAACGCCTTCGCTAAGAACAAATTGACTTTAAATTCGGGAACTGGCTTATCCTCTTTCGTGGAAATTCGGAACGTCTCAGGAAATCTTGGCGTATACTTTGGCAAAGTTTTCGCATTTACGGATGAAGCTGCGGTTCTCCAGCTTTAGTCGCCTATTAGTAGCAAACTCGTCCACTCGCGAGCCTTCGCTTCCCGTCTTCTCGTTTACGAGGTCGCCAGGAGTGCTGCTGCTGCGTCTCTTGTCCTTCTTCCATATTCGATCGGACGACCACGAGGAGAGAGAGAGAGAGAGAGAGAGAGAGAGAGAGAGAGAGAGAGAGAGAGAGAGAAAGACACGGTTTCGGCATGAGCCAGCATACCCAGTGGAACTGGGTCAGCGTGGTGCGTGGTTGCGCGCCTCCGTCACATGCCGCTCTCGGCAAATACGGTTTGGCGTCTGAACCACCTGGGCGACAAAGGACGAGCGCTCAGTTGGAGCGTGTAATGAAACTGGGGTGATAGCCGACGGCGATTAGCGATCACGAAGAGGTGTTCGCCTCAATATCCCGTGCGTCCTTCCTCCTTTTTTAATTCGGCGAAACGATCTCTAAAATTACGCGCGGCAGGTGCATTTGACAACCTTTGAGGATGAGATGTGGAAGGACACCTCTAATAACTGTTCTACATTAATCAATTTAACACTCGAAGCTCTCGTGCTTTATCACATAATTTAGCGGTTTACTTTCAGAAATAATTTCTGTTGGTTAAAATTCCTAAAAATACATATTTTCTAAATACCAAATTAATACCACATTTTTCATAACAGCAGATAAAAGTACGTTTAATTCAGTATAATAACACAAAGTCTCAGCAATTAATATAAATTCTATTAATTTATTGTAAAAGTATGAAATACCTTTCAATTTTTAAATTATACTGTTAAACTGTATTTGGTATGTTCGGTTAAATGAAACGTAATGACGAGTGCCCTATATATATGCGCAAGATCGCGAGATACCGTGTATCTTGACAGTTACCAAATAACTGCCCGATATGTCACAGAGGCAATATTAATTGAAATTTTTTTTTGCACGGAAAAAATAACTGTCAGAGTGACTGATTCAACATCAACGTTTACTACTTGATACGGTCTTTCTCGATACGGTGAAATCTACTACTAGTGTATCAATTTACTTTTCTCTCTTTATCGAATATCTCCTCTTAATTGAATATCCTGTCGCTGTAGGTAGTGACTTCTATTTATAAGCTTTTCGCGATTCTCCCGATAAGCGTTATTAATAAATGAACTTTGGATACATTATATTAATAATGTCCAGGAATTAACTTGATCGTCGCATAACTGCAGAATAACGGAATGTACATATTCATAAATTTCGAAAGATCCAATTCCTCTTAACGGATGCGACGGAGAGTGCAAACGGTGATAATACGAGAATCAACGTGAATCGCCATTGTCCGACCACACGCCGGTTGTTATCACTACTTCGAATTTCATCCAGTTCTCCACAATGTCCCGGCACCTCGGTTATCGTTTTTCCACTTTTCCGTCCTATTCCAGCGGCATTTTCTAAAATTATACTCAGAGAGCACGTGATGGCCTTCGTGTGTGTGACGTAGATAGTGCAACGATTGTTCTTTGTTCAGCTCGATACCGGGGTCTGCTTCTCGTTGGCCGTTGTGAACGTATATATCGAATTGCTGGCCCGCTTTTCCGTACATTACCGAGCTTCGATATATGATAGAGAACGAGTTGAACAATTTTACCGCAAATTTATCAGGCATCTTCTTTGATGCTCTATATTACCTTTAGTACGTCAGCAAAACTATACATAGCTCTATCTCACTACTATTTTTATTTTTATCAATACATTTTTAACCACTTTTTGTGGAATATTTTCCATATTTAATATCACGAAGACTTATTCGCAGCCTGCATTTTTATGATATCCATAATATCATACATTTAATCAAAAGTCTTCAAATTCGAATTTCAATTTTGACTTCAAAGCTCCGAAATGTATACGTGAAGATATATAATAGATTTATTACTTTCACATTTACGTTTAATTCCTTAACATTGCAAAAACGTGGTTGATTGTTGCGAACTTCCGATCTTATGCCGTTCAATCGCTTCTATTGATCGAAAATGGGGTAACGTTCTTAATTCCAAGTCTCGATTGAAGATACGCGGTTCATAACAATGAATGTTGGCTTTTCAGTCACCGCCACCCGCGGTACGGCAACTTCTCAAGTTTCACGAACAATGCAGGTACCACGATGATCGATACTCGTTCGTCGCTCGCCCTTTTTCGAGCCTTTACAATCTAAAGTCGGAAACGTGTTCCGCTGTTCAAATTACGAACGAAGTGCAAATGAACGTAGATTTTAATTAACGACATTGATAGCTCGGTTTTATTCAGAAAATGAATGTTTTATATATTTACAAAATGAATATAAAATTTCATTGTAAGAACAGTCTAAAAAAAAGGCGAAGCTCTCGATTTCTATTTAAACAACCTCTTTTTTAAAAGTAGACTTCTTAAAAATGTTTTAAAAATTTGTGAATTTATATATTGTCATTTGTTTTCTATTGTTAGACAATGTAATTTGCAAATTTATATTGACATTTGTTTCCTATTATTAGACAATTCAAGAGGAAAAAGTTTATTTTTGAACGTCTACATGAGGTACACGAGGGAAACGTTATTTTTTTCATTCAAATGAAACGTCAGACGCAGCCAGAGTACTCGCACGTTTCATTTCTGAAACGGTTTTGCTGGAGAATAACGACTCGATGAACAATATAGCCATAGTTGTGGAAACAATAGCCTGGTATATTATTCGTGCGGTTTTTGCATGTGTCATTTCAAAGCAAATCGTCACTCACTCGATATTTCCAAGTAAATATTTATTGACAGAGAAGAATTTTTTTTGATTTTTTCCAATATTTTTTTCAGAAAAATTCATTACGACGACGACGACTACGTGGCGTTGAACGTAGCCGACGAGCTGGAGGAAGAGGAGACTCTGAGCGGACCAGAGAAGATGGACGAAGCTCAGGGAAGGTATCACCGACCGCGAAGAAAGCGCAAACGTAAACGACGCAAGATCGAACCCGTCTGCCCGGAAGAGGAACTTGTCGATCCCGAGGAACTTCCGCCTCGTGCACGATGGACGATCATGGCGACCGCTTGTCTTCTGCTCGCCATGTCCTTACTCCTGGTTGGTGTTACGCTGCGAATGGCGCCTATAATTGACGACATGGGTGAGTCGATTGCGACAATAAATTCGTCATTCTTATATCCATTTTTATCAATATGGATTAACTTTAATTTTGGTTTAAATTATTCGTTATCTTTCTTTAATTCTTAAAACTAGAAATAGATAAAAAAATGAAGTTACCATTAAATACTGAGGTAAAAAATAGTGACACTTTTATCAAAGTCCCTGGAACATCGATTTAAAAAAAACTGTAATAAAAACACAGGAGCTTTATAAATCTGTTTTATTAATCAAACCATTATAAATTAGTCTTTGTGAAAGTATTGATAATAAAACAGATATATATCGTTTTATTTTTTTTTCACGTAATCAACGAACTAACCTTAATACTTGAGAGTTAATTCCAAAATGCTACGTAAATTTTACGTACAGGTAGTGAAGTCATTAAGCGCTAAGTTATGCTTTAGTGGTCATTATAACGTCCACTTTGCCATGCTAAAAACTAGGACAAGTGAAGCAAACTTTAAAAATTCTGTCCATTATACTTAATCAGTTTGGACCATCTCGGATCAGTGTTATAACAGAGTGTGATAAGTGAGTTTTAATTTTTAAGTGTTTTTTGTGTGTTATTATATACTTAATTATATTATTTAAGTATGAGAAGACACATACACAATTGACTATATTATTTTAAGATTGAATTTTATAATATGTTTATTACATCTTGTTAACATTGAGAATGATCCGATTGGCGTTGAAATGTTTGTTCTGTTGTTTAATTTCATATTTATAATTAAAATAGACTCTCTTTATTTATTTTGTGTATCTCTGGCTCGTAACCCTTCAAATTATTGTTTTTATTTATTATTATCGAGCCTTATTACTCTCTCTTTATATATTTTTATTACTTCTTTTTAAGTTAATAATTATATTATTTGCGTTTATAAAAGTCTAGATTATAAATATTTTGTTTATAAAATATATGGAAATTTGTCATGTTAATTAAGAATGGCCTATTTCCTTTTATGTAAAATTTACGCATCGACAACAATACTGTATCGTTCAATAGCGACAGCATTCTACATTTAAATCGAGATTAAAGTTAATGTACATACACTGGTAGAAATGGACATTAATCATATGAAAATCGAGCGTTGCGCGTTTATTCCATTCGATAACATCTCACTGTATAATTTATTTTATGTATTTTGTAACCCACTTGCGTTAGCACGATCTTTCTTCTTTCTTTCTTTTCTTTTTCTGTTAAATTTACGAAGGAGATGTTCAAGAAGATCTTTAGAAAATATTCTGTGCTCGATAGATGCGTTTATTCCTCAAAGATTTTATTAGAACGCTATAAAACGTGCGATTTATCTCGCACTGCGGACTTTTCACGGACGGAAAGCCATCCAATGGTTGACGCGATGCGTCCGAAAATAGTAGCTAAATAGTAGTGTGGATTTACGTTTGAGAGCGTGGGAGAAAATCATGCCGGATTACCGGCACTAAAATATGCAAGACGGTCCCAAGGGTAGTAACCTCCGGATGAAGTTGCAAAGCATTAATGATTTAATGTATCTTTATTATACAATCCTGTTGGACTTGAGAAACGCGATATTGTCGCTTAAGCAGATCCGATTAAGTGCAGTGCCAGGTCTCACGAATCTAAATTTGATTAATTTTCTTTTTCTTCCTTTTGTCATCCACTCGCAATTTCTTAAAGACTTGTCTTCTTTCTTGTAAATATTGATATTAATTTTTTCTGAAGACTTTTTATCATTATATTAATATTTACAATTTGTGTAAGGCATATATACGTATAGAATAATTACGAATTAACGTAAATAAGAGAAAGAATCCTATATTCAAAGTAAATCTTAGTGCTTAATAATATTTACGTGTAAATTTCCAAATACACTTTACAGTTCTATAAATTGCTCGTTGATTCGGTTCGTCAGACTTGCAACGCAATGATAAACTGAAGCTAAAATTATAATAGCACAAATTAAATCGACCTTGGATTTAATAATAATGTAATTAATCTTCTTAAAACTTTGCGAAGAATTTATAATATATATAATTGCGAAAAACATTAAATACGAATTACTCTTTCAAAGAATTTTGTAATTCCAATCATGCACGTTTAAAAGAATTAAAATACTGTGTGTAAAAAGATTAATTTTAATTTCGGTTTCAACTTACACTTCATTCCTTTTTAATTCTTAAAATTAGAAAAAGATGAATTAGATAAATCAAGATTAAAATTAAACTGCGTTGCTACACGGAGAAAATGTTATATTTAAATTTACTATAATGTGGTAGTAGCTGCGGACATCATGTAAATTATAAGTTTAAATGCTATAGTTATTATTTTAAAAACAATAATGCAACGTAATTTTTACACTTTTTTATAGTAAAAATGTTTTATTACAAAATCACAACTTGTTGAATAAAAGTTCGTATTGCAAAGATAAGTAAAAAATATATACCTAGCAAATTTTGTTTGCATACCATAGTAAAAATTAACAGTTTTCATGTTAGAATATGGCTTAAGCACTGGTTTAACAAAATAATTACTTTATTTATTATAATTATGTGATAAAAGTTAGTATTACCATAGTAAAAGTTACGTCGGAATCATGTTGTGTCCATCGGAAATACTAGACATAGTAAAGTGTAATTTAAAAAATTGTATTAAAACTTAATATAAAATTTTCTCCGTGTAGAAACGAACATAAGATTAATGTATGAAGTGACTCAAGGCTAAGTTACTTCCGATGCGATAACAGTTCGGTCAGCGTCGTTAGTGGTTTCGTGGTTGACACTTGCGTCGTTTCCTTACACTGGAAACCACAAAACCGCATTTCCTCTTACACTAGGTAGCAAAACCATCGTTGGTTCTCTAAATTGAGGCTTTTCCCATCGTGGAAAAGGGAGTGCATGGAGAATTTCAATTATAATTGGTAGCATTACACGCAGACTGATGATACTCCTGAATGCCGCATTCAGCATAAAAGTACACTTCTGCATTAGGCTTTACAAATCGTAAAGCGTGCAGGATACACACAAATGTATAATACACGAATTTCCACTGGCACAAATAAACCGTATGCAGCGTGCGAGGTCGAGGGCGCTTCGTGTTTCTAAATTAAAGGCGCGCGTCTGCGAATCCTCCAGTCAGCCGTCGGATTTCCGCAGCTAAGCCACCTTGAAGCTCATACTCGTTCCACGGTCGAGAAAGCTCGCCGAGAGTAGCTTTCGACAAGTGCGCGTTGTCTTTTATGTGCGTCAAACGACTGTCTCGCTGATCCGCAGTGTCGTTGATCCTCTTGTGACGAGCGAGTGTCGCAGGATCCAGGATGTTACCCTTTGGCAAACACGATTACAGTTCCGCCAGTGGACCTTCCCATCATAGTCATGGTTCAATCGAGAGCACCACGCAAGAAATAGAATTAAAGTTTCTACTCAGCTTTCACATTTCTGGTGCCCGCATTTTTCTCTCGCAAAATTGTTAGACCGGCTCTACGGGAGTTAATTCTCATTTCTCTTCGAGAGGAAACAATTTCCTGGACATCCGTGCTCGAGAGCAGTAAAGCAAAAATAAAACCGCGCTTTAGCAGTAATCGCCGGCGGCAAAGCAACGCGATTTTAACGCTTCGAAATTCTAAAGATCGTTTAACTGCCGTTAAATTGCCGACACCAGCAACCGTTACGCGAAATAAAAGTTTCCTATTGTAGAAATTAATTATTGTCAATATAAAATAAGGATCTCGCTCTGTGATTGTACAGAAATAGATTGAGATATGTGTTGAAAAATCTTGTTGTCCTAAATGTTATAATATAACATAGGTTATTTGTTGCAAAACTTTTTTGGATTTAATTTAGATTATTTACCTCGATTCTGCTTAAAAATATATTAAAATTTTTATTTTTTTAAATTTTTACTAGCCATGAGCAATATCTGTTTCCGATAGAACGCGTCAAAGTGCGGATGACGCTGTATAAATACACCATCGCGCGCGAAATCAACAAGTCAGAGTCGATACTGGAACTTACACGGTTCAAACGATGTTTCTACATAGAGAGATTTGCGGAAGCGGATGTCATTGTGTGCGGTAGATCGGAAAAGTGTTGTGGCATTATTGATCCGAGGAGATGAGCTTATTAATCTTTCGTTTCATGATCATCCCCATCCTCGAGGCAAACGTTTGATAATATTTAACAGCATAACTAATAAAATCTCAAAGATATAAATAAGATATAGAATTATTTTAAATCGTGCGTGAAATTTATTTTCTTCTTTTTCAAGATTCTACAAAGTTGTGTGACAATTAATTTGTATATTTCTTCATTATATTTAATTTAAATATTTTCTTCTGTATAGTAAACAGGAAAATTATTAATTGGCTGTATAAATATCCAGTGATATTTGTATGTCGCATTTATATTGAAATTAAGTTTTACTGTAGATTTTAATTATCCGTACATGTCGTTTATATGTATATATATATGTATATATAAAATCGATTAATTATTTTTATTATATATAATCTAGTTAAACGGATTTCAATATTCAGATGTATCGGATGTTGTCTCGTGCTCGGACAGAATTGTTTGCAAAAATGGTACCGTATTGATTCGCACCAGATGCGACGTTCCTTTACGTCTACCTTTGTCGACGTCAATATCTACAATATTTTAATTTAATTGAATATGTATCTTTCTCGTCATACGTATTTATAGCTTTTATATTTCTCATCTCAGATTGGAGTAATATTCAGTGGTTTAATAATATACCATTGCGTGATTGAGTTAAGTGATTAAGTTAAGTAATTAAGTTAAGTAAAATTATAAAATTAACGTTTTGCAAAGAAGATACTCTTTGTTTGTTTTAATAAATATTAAGTAATTTATATAAAGCTTTTAGCTTTATATGTCTAAATTTGTATTCACTTTTTCTAAAAGTATTCTATGTATTTTTTAATATACGCGATGAGTCACCTAATGTTAAAACCTGAAATATCTTCGTTATTTTTGATGGTA